TACTATCCAGCTGGTTACCAGCTGGATCGGATCACTTTTTTTTATGTTTCCAGACTAATTTCCAGCTGGTAAATTCAATCTCATTTCCAGCTGGAACCCAGTTGGAAAATGTAGCTGTTTCCAGCCGGGATTTTAAACTGGGAAGTCAGAAACGTATGAAGAACGCGGTTCTGACAAGAGCAAGCAGATGAGATGATAGTATGGGCGCGTCTTTTTCTCCGGCCGAAAAAGTGAAAAAGACGCGTTGGCTAGGCACGACCACGTCATCGAATGACGTCACTCTTGGGCAAGCAGCTGGCAGCGGAACATAGCGAACTATGGCAGCGCTGAGCAGCTCAGCCATAACATGACGTCATGGGATGCTGGAGGCCTCAGCAGAGTTAGCAGAGCCGCTAGAAAAAAAGACACGCCCGTTGGCTTGGCACGACCACGTCATTGAATGACGTCACTATTGGGTAAGCAGCTGCAAGCAGAACATAACGAACTATGAGAATGCGGAGCAGCTAAGCCTTAAAATGACGTCATCGGATGCTGGGGGGTCTCAGCAGAGCTAGCTGAGCCGCTAGCAAAGAAGACACGCCCTCTGTGAAAGAGGAAATTTGAATGCGACTTTCCTCGCCGCTAACCACCCAGTAAACAAGGCTACGTTGGACCAATATTGTACCAACGTTACGAACGTTGATTCAATGTTGCTTCAACGTTGATTCAACGTTATGTGCTTCAAATTGTTTGCTGGGCAGCGAGGTACTGAGTCGACTAAACCACAGCGCCTGCTTTTATAGTATTAATACAACAGTTCGCTAACGTCATCACATGCGCAAGATTTAACCCTCCTATCTCCGGCTGCCGGTGGATAGAGGCAGCGGAGGAGTACATGTTTATCTCTAATCATGTGAGCCGAATCGCAAGGAGAAACCAGCACTGAAAGAGAAACCGCATTAAGGAAATATTATCTTCTGTCGAATATCGAATCGATCATACGACACCGATCATAGTTTATGATCATGTGGAATGACGTTAACGACTGCTGAAAGACAAGTTTCCTTTTCTCCCATGAACCTTCTCAAGCTCTTTTTTAAACATTTACGTGTATTTTTTACCTCCTTCAACGACATCTCTAGAGAACGTTTCCTGGGATGATAGTCGAAAGGGAAACAGTCGTGCGCGGCGATACGGCAACTTCCCTCTGGGAACGGAAGACGACCTCCTGGCAGCGGATGACACACCAAGGAGCATGATGAGGTGGATGGATCTATGAGATGGATGAGATGGAAGGGTGGAGCAACTCCTCCAGCACCTCGAGATTCCAAAATACTGTACCTTCACAAACTATTGCAAGTTCATTTATCATCTCTTGTTTGTTTTCACTAATTTTGGTTTATTTCAACCGGGAGTCCTGAACCGATTGGAGATTTGAGTTTTGCTCCCTTGACCTTGAAGAGATCCTGATTGGAAGGATCTCACTTCCATTAATTTTGCCAATCCATTTGAAAGGAAAGGCAATTCCAAATTTCGATATTGAGAGAATTGTGCATTTTCCTTGCTTGAGATGATTTTCCCTATCTCTAGCGCGTTCCTTAGTGTAAAACATAATTGAGTTTTACGAGGTTCATGCCATGAAACCTCATCGACCCGATAAGAAAGATTCACCGGGTTCGTCGTTTCTGTGATTCTCAGAAGCGTGGGCGAGTGCGATCGCACCCATGCCCTCGTTTCAAAGAATCATCGCGCTGCGTCCTCTCTCTTCAACGGGAGCTACGACTACTGATGGAGGAGGCGGTTTGCCTCGACTTCCTCGAATCGGCACTGTTGAGGATGCGCGGAGGCGAACAGGAAGTTGCCTGAGTCCAGTGCCATCCGAAACAGCCGATGGCGAGGAAAGTTTGGCGGTTTTACGGTAACGCAGAAAAGTTTTTTTTGGGAAATTCTCACACCTTTTTACCATGTTTTCCCGGCTAGCAGATGTCTCTGTTGTACCACTGCCTCCGAACGGCTGGCGAATTTTCTGCGAGCGAGTGCCTATGGGACTTGCTGTCCAATATGAAAGAACGGAAATAAGTATAATTTAAGTTCCAAAAAATATGTTGGCGTCGAAGAAGAAAGCTCAATAACATTACAATCTGAGTGTAATTATGTGAACATTTCATTTGAATATGATCTGAGACGAAGAAATTCCGAGTTCCCATCCTCCGCGCCTTCAAGTCAGAGTAGCAAGTAAATCTGATTATTTCTCTCTTCCATCGGCAATTTTTCCCACTTTCACTTCATGGTTGCTAGGCAGAGAAAAAGAGAATATTTCGCTATTGTTTCGTTAATGTCGCGCCTGTGAGAGATTGCAAGACTGAAATGGCAAGACGGATGCATCCATGACGAAGGTTGGAGACTCTGCGGCAGCTCTCAAACGAAGCTCTAGAAAAATATAAATAGATACAGGGTGGCCCCAAAACTGCATCCTGTTTGACGCTTTATAAAACCCGCTGTGAGTCATCTAGGTTCGTGATGTTTTTTTAAAAATCAGATTGGAAACATGAAAAACTTTGTTTTCTGAAAGTTTCATGTGCCTAGGTTGCCTGAATAAAAATAGTTCAAAGTGGAATCATAAAATTTATCCTTTCCGCTCATGAGGTAGATGGAGTTTCCGGACTGCCTCAATGATTTCCCGCACTTGACACCATAAAGACTGCTTTGTACGCCATGTTCTCGTCGTAGTATTCTACATGTCATAGAATAGTACTACTGTCGTACGTCGTAGCATCAGAATCGGTACTGCGCAGCATACTACGATGAGAACTGACAAAGCAGCATTTATGGCGTCAAGAGAGAGAAATCATTGGAGCAGTCCTGAAACTCTATCCACCTCATGCGCGTAAAAGGTAAATTTTATTACTCAATTCTGAACGACTGTAGATTTGTATTCAGACAACCTAGTTATATGAAACTTTCCGAAAATAAATTTTGTGATGTTTCCAAAGTGATACGAAAACATGACGAACATAGATCATCCACAGCAGGTTTTATAAAGCATCTAACAGGACGCGTTTTTTTTGGGCCACCCGGTATAGATATGCATTCGCCACAATGGAGGCCGCGGCTTTCAATGCCTTGCCCTGCTCCTGCCTCTAAGGGAAAATACAATGAGATGCAGGTCGATGCAACATATAAATAATAAGACACCCATTTCTCCTGGCCTGCTGCCCTCACGCACGAGTCTCCGCCTACCGAGCGGGTTGAAGGCAGCGTTCTCCCTGCCATGTGGCGTCCACGTTTACCTAGTGGAAGCGGTTGTCATGGAAACCGGTTTATGAAGATGGCGGCGGAGATTCAACCCATTCCGGGTGCTCTGCCAGAGACGGTTCCGCGGCAGAGCAACCGGAAAGCCGTTCTTTTGGCGAAGATCGAGGTGTCTTTGTCTCCCATCAACGACGCCGTCTTCCTGCCGGATGGCAACAGGATCATCACCGCCTCCGACGACAAGTCAGTATCAAATAGGCCTTGCATGGAGGTTGGCATCGACCGGGACGGTGCAGGGTTGACGTGCTGTTTTCCCTTTTCTTGCTTCTGCAGACTGGTTAGGATATGGCAGAAGAAGGATTCCGGCGGGTATTGGCCCTGTCTATCGCATTCCATGCCTTCCCCGCCCACCTCGGTGCACTTCGACGCTGCGATGGAGCTGCTTTTTGTCGGGCTCGACAACGGAACCGTCTCGGTAGGCCTAAAAGTTAGGTATTTTAGGTTTATATTCTTGGGTCTATCACACCCTGTATGGTTGTATAACTTCACTGTCGCCATGAAGTAAATCCCATTCCCTTGTTGTCGTCCTTCTTGGCACTACTGGGCTGAGATTTTCTCGGAGTAGGCTTAGGCCTTGCAAAGTATGCACCTTTAAATTCCAGTAAAGATGGCTAATCATTACCATCCATTGGAGCTATGGCTATGGCTAGGCTGATAGCCTAGACATAGCCTCTCAATTAACCCGACTGAATCTATCAAAAATATTTTGCAATTAATATGAAAATGAAAAAAGTAAATCTAAATGTTTTGCAAGCAAGGGCAGAAGCAAAACTAAGTCACAATGCCAATTTGGAAATTCATTTCTCCCAGGAACTCCAACTGGGTGACGACACAAAGCAGGTGATGCTGAGACGAACCTACCTGGCACATCAGCTGAGGGTCACAGCTGTCTGCTTCACTGCCTCCAACGAATGGCTCCTCTCCATCTCCAGGGACAAATACTTTCAGGTACTTTAGGCAGATGCCTCAACACGAGACATTTGAACTTTTGACACAAGATCATGTCAGTTTAATAGACAGTGTTTGGTTCTTCCAGTTGCACTGCACCCAGACGGGTCGACGACTTGGAGGTTACCAGTGCAATGGATGGTGCATGGATCTTCAGTATCCTCTTCTTTCCCTCTGTCTGGAGGAGTAGGCTTGGCATGTTTCAATTTTCCTTAACAAGGCCTTCAACATGAGCTGGTGTCATCATTTTTCACATTTTTTATAGACATGTTAATTACTGTTCAAATTGTTTTCTTCATATTTGGTAATATCTTATAGTGAACTCAGTCCAAATTTTTAAATGAATTTTTCAATTTCTGACAGATGTTGATGTTTTCATTGCTCTCATCTACTTGAAAATACTCCATTCATGAAAGCGTTTTGGCTAGTATAGAAGTTAATGCTCATATAGACCTGGCCAAAAATATATTGTATGGCAACAGATATGAAAAGCATACTTGGTGAAAATAACTAAAGACTGTAGTAAAAGAGTTAGTGATCCCAAGAAAGTCCCATGAAGTCTGCTTTGTGGAACCCTTATCTATTTTCAAGGAGTTTATAATAATGTGGTTTATTCTATATTATTAAAACTGCTGTTGGGTGTGGATTCTCTGTGGATATGTGTAGATATATTTTAATATTTAAAAATAGGCTTAACTTTATTTAAAATCTTTCTCCTTTCCCGAAGTTCCTTGACGAGCATCACCTTAGGTATGATGAGGCGTCGAACCATGCCTTTGTTGGAGATTATTCTGGTGAGGTTCATATGCTGAGGCTGGAGAAGGGGGAAGGTGGAGCAGAGGTAACATTTGTGACATCCTTCAAGGGTCATGATGGGAGCATCCAAAGCCTTGCTTGGGACCCAGTCCAGAAGCTCCTCTTCTCTGGTTCTGCTGATCACAGCATTATTGTTTGGGACATTGGGTCACAGAAGGGCACTGCCTATGAGCTCCAGGGTCACCAGTGAGTCTCATCCTCCATGCCTCCTTGATGTACTTGGGTTGTTTTAAAAAAGCACTTATTTACCTTCAACCCCACAGTCTACAGGTTCCAAAACTTTTGTACAATCACTGAGCACAGAGATAAGATAACTTAGGGAATTTCTGTTCATAGAGCCACTAAATATATGGACTACTGGCAGGCACTAGTAACTTTTCCTGTATCATGAATTTTATTAGTTCTTGTGCCAAGAGATTAAGTAATTATTATGGTCTATCATTCTTTTATTCTCTCAATATTTTTTAAGCCTGTAAGACAGTTGTAAGAATCTAGTATGTGTACATTTTTTATCATATTCAAAAGAGTTCATAATCCTAGAATTCATCTCTACAGAAATATTTAAAGATGGAGAGTTATGTACTGTGGAACCTCGCTTAACGAGCATAATTTGTTCCCGAATCTTACTCGTAATATGAAACACTCGTTAAGCGAATCACTCGTTATGGGAGGTGCTCGTTAAGCGAGGTTTGACTGTATATGAATATACAGTCAAACAGAGTGATTCGCTTAACGAGTGTTTCGCATTTCGAGTAAGATTCGGGAACAAATTATGCTCGTTAAGCGAGGTTCCACTGTAACTCGTACGCGAGCCACGGTGGGAAAAGTGATGGCGACTTTTCTGGCTCACTATGGAAGTCATTCAAATCAACTACAGAGAGTGTATCCGTAAAGTGACTATCTCTGGGCAACTTTTTCATCGAATCGGATGTAACCATTTATTTTGTTCGAGTAGACGATTTCAGAATGATTCTCACATTCTGGGTGAAATTAATTTATCTGATCGTGGTTTGAGTTTAAGCCAACCGGTAAAATGCTTCAGGTTAAAAATAAAAAAATATGCCCAAAGACGAAAACTCTACATATGCTTCCTAATAATACTATCACAGGTCAGTACCATGCTGAATTTCTGAGGAGATTTCAAATACCCATCAGGAGAGTTGGCGAATGGGGTCCTCATTTGCATGACAATGCGCCAGTTAACGTAATGCTTCAAGGGTCGGTCCACTCAACAGAGAATTCGAATAATTGCCGCACCCACTTCATCCTCCAAACCTTGCAATCGATGTCCTTGAACTGTTTCCACATCAAAGGAACGCCGCGGGAAAATATCTCAGATCCAGTTGGAGCGAAACTAACCCGTAGTTCGAAGGGTCGTCGAATGGGTTGTTCAAGACTAGCATAAATATCTATGCTAAAGGAACGATAGAAGAGGAGTATTGTGATGGAGAACGACGATGCTAAAAGATTCTTAACTGCCATCACCTCATCGTGGTATGGTCGAGAACTTATCGGGCATCTTATTTGTATACCTTTATCAATAAGTAGGGATGGGTGGTATGACTCGGAAGCACTTCCCTTGTTCAAACCATCAGACAACGATACATATTTAGCAACGCATAAGTGATATCAGATACTCGTGATGTACAGTATACGCCAATTCGCATCGTGAAATATATCCTATATCTTAACGAAATCCGCATTAAATGGAATGAAGCAGAAAGTTCTTGTCGGTACGTAATAAAGAAAGACGGAATGAAAACTGTTGAGTTTCCGTTCTTAAAACGTGGCCCAAATAATGCTTTTGGGTTTAATTGACAACATCCTCTACGGGAAAAAATGTCACGAAACCTGAGCACTCCGCTTCCCCCCCCCCCCCCCCCTTCTCTCGTGTAGCAGAACTGTCTGATGGCGAAACAATATCAGGATTATTTCTGAATTATGTTTTCAATTCTACATTTACCGACTAAACATCAGCAATGTGTGTCCACCACTGGCCTGGATGATATACTTGCCATTTCGCCTTTGAGGCGAAATGGCAAATAGCGGCAAGTTCTAATGTAATTCAGCACAAAACTCGAGAGTTGGAAGAACTGTTGCAACACGCACTTAACGTCGATCGCAAAAAAATGCTGCCCAGGAGAGCCAAGAAGCATGAAATCTTCAACTCCATCTTTCAATCTTGACTCCATGTCTTCCCAGACATCAGGTCGGGAGAATTCCGTCGCCGTTCTACATTTACAACCGAATCTCAATATCGCATGAGTTCACCTCCAGTCTTGGCGACAGTTTGAAGAAGATACCCTTGTGGTGAAGAAGTATAACTTTGTAAATGTCCAGGACATTCTTGAGCTCCCAAAGAGAAGGAACACATCCAAGCAAAATGACAACCCCAAAATACTGGCCAAGTGATACTTGTTCTATGACAATTGCTCTCTTCCCCTTTAAGCCATCATCGAAGTTGGGGGTGAGCTCATGCGATACTCTGATTTAGGCTGCAAGATTAGAACGGAATACTTTGTTTTAGGGCTGTCAATTCGATTATAAAAATTAGGTAAAAATTAGAAAAAAATTTGGTTTTAAAAATTAGTCGAAATTAATCTAATTTTAATCGACCTCATAATCCCCCCCTGAATGTCTCTTTTTCTTCGTATAATTTTAATGTGTAGCTCAGTTTGGCAAAACAACAGAAAACGAATGCTTTATCAAGGAAATGAAATGTAATGATGGCTCATGGAAGGTAGTCGTTTTTGCACAGCTCACTCTTCCTCAAAACGACGTACTATTTTTGGCATTCTTCCTTTAAGGGTTGGCGAAATGGCAAAGGGCCTCAGTGCACTTCTTTGCTTACGTTTCGTTATTTATCTGACCAAGTTGTAACTATTTTCTTTCCGATTGGAACGTATCACTTGTAGGATGAGCTAGTGCATATGTATGGATAGTAACTACCATGTTAGTGCCTGCGTCGCCTTGAGCCCCTTCTTGAGGCTCGCTTAGGTGTTGGGCATGACACTAGCAAAATCATTCCCAACGCCTTGGACATGATTCAAGGAAGAACCATGAGATTGAATAAATTTCGATTAATCGATTATATTTTTAAACGATTATTTATTTAGAATATTTATTTAGATTATTTATTTAGAATAACAGGGCTATTTATTTAGAATAAATAGCCCTGTTATTTAGAAATTAAGCCTGCTATGCTTGACACGTTCGCGACGTTGTCCAAGGGTTGTGTATGAGTATGTTTTCAGGTGGTTCTCATTCATAGTTCACCGGTGGCAATTTGAGCGGTCTACAATTCCTATTTGTTAAAATTATATCATCACTGAAGACGAATAATCATTCTAAATGAATAATAGTATAAGACCACACTGTCACGGCATGAAAACCAAAAAATTATTTTAAGTCATGAACTTGCTAATCATCGCGCAGTTTGGCTAATGAGAGGTGAGGTGAAGGTCGTTTCGCGGCATGAAGCCTGAGATTTTGCCTTAGAATTACCAGCAAATGGAATGTGAAACATCGCATCGTGGAATAAGTACTCATCATCAAACACCTGAAACCATCAAGATCAGGCTCGAAGCCAAAGTACGAGTTGAAAGTCTGCAAAGTCATTGCAAAGTACGATCCTACGAGATGCTGGAATGCTAAAGCACTGCAACGCCTTCCCACGGTCGGACTTTGCGACAGTGCACAGGAAGAATGAACTGGAATGATTAATGCCTTATGACAGCTGCTTTCGAGAAGCTAAACCTCCCCATATGACTTCCTTCCTCCGCCTTCAATGAGGTTCCCTCCTTTTAAATCTAAAACAAATAAAATGACCTTACGACATCGGTTCTCTATTCACACTGCATGTTGCTGTTTGCAATGAGCAGACTCATTGTCATGTAAGACTGTTCCTCAGCTGTCAGCACGCGATGTAATGGTTGAGAATCATCCTCGAGGGAGAGATATGCAATATAAATCTAATCGGTATCCAGATCTTACTTGATAGCGCCGAGGAATGCGAAAACTGAGAAAGTTCAAACATTCGTGTCGTGTCAATTATGATTCGATTAGTGGATCCGTGTTTCAGAACTTCCTCACTGCATTAGATATTGGAAATCGGGAATTTAGGAATTTATGGAAAGTAATTCATACCCAAATGACTCAAAAAAAGTCCCAAATCGATGCGCCTACAGACGAGACACCAAACCGGATATCGGCAGGAAACTTGTAGGTTGTCACATCCAACATGTGCAACATGTTGGATGTTTCAATTTCAATTTCAAGAAAAAACTATGAAGAAGGGGGCTCGAACAACCTCCTCAGAAAAAAGTTTTTCAGGGGCCGGTCCCCAAAAAATTTGGTTCAAATGACATTCAGGGCAAGTAAGATTGCCAGTATTATAGAAATTAATCATAGTTTCATTTCTAGCGATTAGGAAAATTGTTCTATGGCTGGTACAAATAGGTCATTTTGTGCGCAGCGTCGTTGGACAGCTTCGTATCGGGGCCTCTTCTTCTACAAACTTGGAAAACTGTATGAATTCACACTACCTGCTCTTGTAAGGTCACTGTGGTCCCACTTTCCCGTCAGAGGAGTAAAGGTGATCATGAACGAAGCGTGATCATCACGAGAATGTTGTGTGGGGGCCCGTGCTATCCAGCAATAGCAGTAAACATTAACTTAGGTTTGCATACAAGTCTATTCGCGTGATTTAGATGGATTAGTATACATTGCCTTGAATACATCTCATTACATTAGACTTGCCCTGGCGATCACATTTATACCAATCTTCTTATAGTCGGTGGGCCTGTTATTTATAGGAATTAAGAAAAATATCCATCAATCAATTCAATGACTGGAACGGGCATTGTTTCGTAATTGGACGTCCTCCCTTTCACCAGCCATCCATTCCTCACTCTTTCTTATTATTTATTGATTTCTACTTGGGCTAATAGTGAAATAAAAACTGGTTAAGCACATGCCAGGACCTCGCCATGCTAAATTGCAAGCTCACGAAATCCTGATAATAATTCAGAGCTACCTTAATCTCAATGCAGTGTGAGGATATTTTAAATATCAGTTGCGTATCAAAACATCGCCGAAAAAAAAACACCGACAAGAAAAATTGTTTAACCTCCTAAATGTTTTTTTTTTCAGGTATAATACCGTAATGCTGCAAGAATCCGACAACGCTGT